ATTTAACAACAGGTAACGACTTTAAATCAACACATTTAACTACAGGTAACGACTTTAAATCAATACATTTAACTACAGGTAACGACTTTAAATCAATACATTTAATTGCAGGTAACGATTTTAAATCAATACATTTAATTACAGGTAACGATTTAAAATCAATCCAATTAACTTCAGGTAATTACTTTAAATCAATACATTTAATTACAGGTAACGATTTTAAATCAATACATTTAACTACAGGTAATTACTTTAAATCAATACATTTAATTACAGGTAACGACTTTAAATCAATACATTTAACTACAGGTAACGACTTTAAATCAATACATTTAACAACAGGTAACGACTTTAAATCAATACGTTTAACTACAGGTAACGACTTTAAATCAATACATTGAACTACAGGTAACGACTTTAAATCAATACATTTAACAACAGGTAACGACTTTAAATCAATCCATTTAACTACAGGTAACGACTTTAAATCAATACATTTAACTACAGGTAACGACTTTAAATCAATACATTTAACTGCAGGTAACGACTTTAAATCAATACATTTAACTACAGGTAACGACTTTAAATCAATCCAATTAACTTCAGGTAATTACTTTAAATCAAAACGTTTAACTACGGGTAACGACTTTAAATCAATACGTTTAACTACAGGTAACGATTTTAAATCAATCCAATTAACTTCAGGTAATTACTTTGAATCAAGAATTTTTAAAATAAATAATGATAGGTGAAAACAATTTTAACAATTAATAATGACAAGTGTAAACAATTTTTACAATAACAATGATAAATGTAAACAATTTTAACAATAAATAATGATAAGTGTAAAAAATTTTATAATCAATAATGATAAGTTTAAACAATTTTTACAATAAATAATGATAACTGTATACAATTTTTACAATAAATAATGATAATTATAAACAATTTTTATAATAAATAATGATAGGTGTAAACAATTTTTACAATAAATAATGATAAATGTAAACAATATTTACAATAAATAATAAGTGTAGACAATTTTTACAACAATAATGACAAGTGTAAACAATTTTTACAATAAATAATGATAAGTGTAAACAATTTTTATAATAATAATGAAAAGTGTAAACAATTTTTACAATAATAATGACAAGTGTAAAAAATTTTGACAATAATGATATCATATATTCGCGAATACTTTACTTTAGTTGATATCCCGTTTTATGTTGTTTCAGTTAATCTTACAGTTTCACTTTTTTTAGGGAATTGTGTTGTTTCATTGTTATGATAATTTTGATGGAACTGATTAGACAATGTCTGCTTGAATTATATTTTTGGATAGTCTGATATCTTAACTGTAATATGCTAATTAATTCATCGAAATATCTCAGTCGTTCCTAGTCCAATGTAACGTTTTATTTCTTTGTCTTGTAGGCCTTTCTGAACGAGGGGCAGGAGGCTCTTTGAACCACCAGAACAGTGCTCTTGCACTAAAGACAGACACTATATTAGTGTCTCGCTATAACAACGCCGTGGCCGCTGCAACTGACTTGTGCCTATCTAACAGACTATCCGAACTGCGACAAGGATTAGGCGGGATTAGTAACCAACAATCTCTCAACTCTTCGGCGGCAATGCTGTCAGCAAGTAATGGAGCCTCTTGCTTATCGGGAAGCCACGGAGGATACGGACTCCTCACATCTCACAGTTGCTATGGAAACACAAATGGTGGAAGTGCTGCTACTGGAATGTATCTCGGTACTCCAATTGTCCCCCCGTCTCTCCTCTATCCCCAGCTTTACTCTGGTGTCTCTCAGTCTCAGCTTCACCCGTCTATTCACTTACTGAGCAACGAGCTCCGATCAGCCGTGGATACTGCTCAACCGCAAAGAATCGCAGGATTAAACAACATGGCCGCCTCTCGAGCCAACAGTGGCTCCGTGGATGGTGAGATCGAACCAGAAACTAGAAACAGCGACAACAGACAGCCACATCACGTGACTTCAACAGCAAGCGAAAATACCTTGTTTGGGATTACTAATGGACATAGTGACCCCGCGTTATGGAGACCGTATTGATGTATCCCAAACTATTCGAATATGTAAAAAACAATGTTGTCAGTTTTGGAGATTCCATCAACGATTGTAAAGCTTTCTTATGAAGCTTAACGTATCTTCTTATCGCAGGACGTTTTTGTATTGTGAGTGTTTTAAGGTTTATGATAAACAGTGGAACATTCGGATGTGCCATGTGTAGAACTATAATACGAAACAGAACACTATCTAATGTTAGTTCATTTTGTAAGCCAGCCAACTCTTAACAGTAAGTTAGTTTCTTTTTGACGTCTTTATTTTACGTTATGTCTATAAAGATCATCTCTGTCATGAAACAGGTTAAACACGCGTTTCTTTTTGGTCAGCATTTTGAAAGTAACGTATATCATGTAAATAGCCTCATAAGTTTGTTGTGACCAATAAATGGAAAGTTGATATTACTGTATCGTCACCTTATTAAGTACAGTCAGAGCATAACCACTACCTAGGGGAGACTTAGTAAGAATAAAAAGTACAGTCAGAGTAGAACCACTACCTATGGGAAACTTAGTAAGAATAAAGAGTACAGTCAGAGTAGAACCACTACCTATGGGAAACTTAGTAAGAATAAAAAGTACAGTCAGAGTAGAACCACTACCTAAGGGAAACTTAGTAAGAATAAAGAGTACAGTCAGAGTAGAACCACTACCTAGAAAAACTTAGTAAGAATAAAGAGTACAGTCAGAGTAGAACCACTACCTAGGGGAGACTTAGTAAGAATAAAGAGTTCAGTCAGAGCAGAACCACTACCTAGAAAAAACTTAGTAATAATGAAGAGTTCAGTCAGAGTAGAACCACTACCTGTGGGAAACTTAGAAAGAATGAAGAGTTCAGTCAGAGTAGAACCACTACCTGTGGGAAACTTAGTAAGAATAAAGAGTACAGTCAGAGTAGAACCACTACCTAGAAAAAACTTAGTAAGAATGAAGAGTTCAGTCAGAGTAGAACCACTACCTATGGGAAACTTAGTAAGAATAAAGAGTACAGTCAGAGCATAACCACTGCCTAGAAAAAACTTAGTAAGAATAAAGAGTACAGTTAGAGTATAACCACTACCTATGGGAAACTTAGTAAGAATAAAGAGTACAGTCAGAGTAGAACCAATACCTAGGGGAAACTTAGTAAGAATAAAGAGTACAGTCAGAGTAGAACCACTACCTAGGGGAAACTTAGTAAGAATAAAGAGTACAGTCAGAGCATAAGCACTACCTAGGGGAAACTTAGTAAGAATGAAGAGTACAGTCAGAGTAGAACCACTACCTATGGGAAACTTAGTAAGAATAAAGAGTATAGTCAGAGTAGAACCACTACCTATGGGAAACTTAGTAAGAATAAAGAGTACAGTCAGAGTAGAACCACTACCTATGGGAAACTTAGTAAGACTTACCCATAATGAAAATAGTCAGTAATATCAACATTTCAATTTCGAAGTCTGTCCGAGCTTGGTCTATTGGTTAGTGTGCCGGAATGTAAATAAGAATGACCCTATTCGGGTTCACTTGCCCCCAAAACATGCTTCATACTTTGGAACCGAGGGTGAATTATAAGAGTAATTCTGAAGTCTCTGTATTTGGTTAGAAGAACCTAATATGTTGGCGGTCGGTGCTGTTCACTAACGATCCTTGACTATAGGGACTATTAGGGACGGCTAGAGCTTATAGCTAGCCCCTGTTTGAGTTTTTATAATAGACAATTGAACAATTTCCAAGTAAAAAAAAAAACACACACAGAACACTTTAGAAAAAATTCATACTCTGTACACACACGGAACACTTATGGAAAAAATTCATACTCTGTACACACACGGAACACTTATGGAAAAAATGCATATTTTGTACACACACACACACACTGAATACTTAAGGGAAAAATTCATACTCAGTATACACACAGAACACTTTAGAAAAAAATATATTCAGTACACAGACGGAACAATTATGGAAAAAATGCATACTCTGTACACAAACTGAACACTTAAGGAAAAAATTCATACTCTGTACACACACTGAATACTTAAGGAAAAAATTCATACTCAGTATACACACGGAACTATTATGGAAAAAATGCATACTCTGTACACACAGGGAACACTTATGGAAAAAATCATACTCTGTACACACACGGAACACTTATGGAAAAAATCATACTCTGTACACACACGGAACACTTATGGAAAAAATTCATACTCTGTACACACACGGAACACTTATGGAAAAAAATCATACTCTGTACACACACGGAACACTTATGGAAAAAATGCATACTCTGTACACACACTGAACACTTAAGGAAAAAATTCATACTCTGTACACACACTGAATACTTAAGGAAAAAATTCATACTCAGTATACACACAGAACACTTTAGAAAAAATCATACTCAGTATACACACAGACGGAACACTTATGGAAAAAATTCACACTCTATATACACACGAAACACTTATGGAAAAAATGCATACTCTGTACACACACGGAACACTTATGGAAAAAATTCATACGCTGTACACACACGGAACATTTATGCATTTCTCAGAGTATATTGTCCACCCTTGTGTAGATATAGCATTTTGCAACTACATTTATTTTAGCTTTTATATGATTAAGAAATTCCCATTTCTTACAAGAAAATAACAAAATAAATCGGGCTTGTTGCTAACTTATATATATATATATATATATATATATATATATA